ATTGCACCACCCCCTTGTCGCTGGACCCTCTTTTGGGTCAACCCGAAACAAGATTGTTGATGACGAAGGCGTGGTCGGCAACGAGCCCACTGCGCACCGTGAGAGTTGCAAGTGCTGTTGTTCGGGAGCTGCAGCAGTGACGAAGCGTCCTGGCCCGTCTATAGGCTCACCAAAGAATGTCCTGTGGTTTGCACGACATGTTCTTAGAACACTTTTGGTGGATATTGTTCTGTTTGAACGCATCGGTTGTATTGTTCTACGAGCATCGCCTTTGTTCTTAGAAGACGGTTTTTATTTTATAGGCCTGTAGGAATGCCAGGACGGCCGGTCCTTATTCAGAGTCGGAGGCAATGCAGGGTCAACGCGGCTCATATGGAGCCGTGTCGGAGCCTATGTTTGGAAGTTTTGGAACATTTGGGCGCCATTTTGCGGAGTCGGTGGTGCAGTCCTCGAGGGGCCCCACGACAGCCGGAAGGGGGGTCCTGGGAACTTGCGGGCAGCGCTTGGCCTCATCTTTCTCCTGGGCAACCGCTACCGTTATCTTATCGTCCAACCGCTAATTCAAATGAATGAACGAATGAACAGCGCGCGGTTTTCGGATCACGAGAGTGCCCAGCGCAAACTAGAGAGGACGATGCTGGAATGCGAATGAGGCGTGCGCCACGGCGACAGCATCGTTGTGGATCACGAAACTGGTCTGCGCCAAGGTGCGAGCACGACTCTCGATGACGAGTGGTTTGCGCGAGGGCTCCAGCAGGACTCTGGGCCATGAGCACAGGCGTGCGCCAGCGCGCACAGGCACACGAGAGATGCGTCTGGGGGCAGCTGTCATGCGCAGCCGGAGGGGGAGGAGGAGGAGGAGGAGGAGGAGGAGGAGGAGGAGGAGGAGGAGGAGGAGGAGGAGGAGGAGGAGGAGAGGAGGAGGAGGAGGAGGAGGGAGGAGGGAGGAGGTGGGTCCCCCAGGGCGTGTAAAAAACAACGATTCTTGGGCTCACGTCACACCGCCGAGCGCTTGGGGAACGGGCGGTCGTGGTGTGCTGCTTGCGAGGCCTCTTGGGCACCTTTTCGGGGGCTTCTCGGTGCCCTCTTGGGCGCCGCACGGCAGCCCGGGGGGGCCTCTTGGAGCTTCTCTGCGGCCGTCTGTGGGGCTGTGTGGGGGCCCTTTTTGTTAGTTTAGGTTCCTTCTTGGAAGCCTCTGGAGCCGTCCGGGGGATCTTGGGAGCCTCTTGGGCCGTCGTGGAGCGTCGGGAAACCAAAAAGGCAAGAACGCTAAATTCCTTCTAAAGCGGATAGCAACTCAGAGAATATTGCCTCGTGGGGCCCTTTTTGAAGGGTTCTTGGAGGTCTCTGAAGGCGTTTTTGGGGGCGTGTGGGCCCGTCTGGAGGATGCTTGGCCGTCCTGGAGGAGCTTTCGGCGACTGGGGGCCCCCTTGGACTGTCTTGGGGGCTTCTTTGGGGCCATCTGGACTCGTTGTGTGGGCCTCTATCCTCCCGTAATGCGTCGGGGTCGGGCCCGTGGGATCTGGGCGGACCCCCCTCCCTCCAAATCGACCGGACCAGGGTATGGGGGGAGGGGTCGGGGGAGGGGTGAGCATCTCACACGCCGAGGACACTTCAAGGGGTCGGGGGATTGTGCCGCCAGGTTCACATTGCAGTGTTTTTTTCTGAGCGGGATGGTGGGCCTGCGCGCACGGGGTCATGTGATGCCCCCTGCCGTCGTGCAACAAACCACTACACAGAGAGGGCGGGACGCCCGTGGAGGATCCAGGTCATGTCGCAAAATGCATTCTGTCTCGTAATTCTCGTGATGGCCAGGAAGGTTTTTGGGGGGGGGTCCTTGATTTGGGTCGGCCGTCGGTCGAGTGGGTGGGTGTCTACGAATACGTAGCAGGGTCAAATCATTTTCCGAAGGGGCAGAAAAGGGTTGGAAGACAGGTTCCCCTAACCCACCGACGCCCAGATGCCTGGTGGGATGCTGTCAGCGGGCGTGGTTGTCGGTTACGTGTCGGCCGCGAGAGGGCCTTCGTCGCGGGAGTTGCACTCGTTATGAAAGCTTGGTCGGAATGATGTTCAGGAGAAGCCTGTCGGGGAGGTGGTTGAAGGGGACATGGGGCGGTTCGATGCTCGTTTTGGGGACCTTCCTGGGGGCCACCTAATGGATCTGTTCGACTCAGGTTCGACTCAAGTTCGACTCAGGTTCGACTCAGGTTCGACGCAGCTTCGACGCACGAGTGGAGCGAGTGGCTCCAGGAAGGTCCCCAGAATGAGCATCTAAGGGCGGGCATCTGTCAAAATACGTTTTGGAGCCGTTCGTCAGGGGCGTCTTGAAGCGAGCTCTGAGCCGTGTCGGGGCCCCTTTTGGACAGGCGACCGCTTGCCCGCCAAAGATTCCGCCGGGGCCCACGGCAATCGCGGCACAGCCCGCAGTGAGCTCTGCGGCTGACATTTTCAGTCGTCGTCGTGCACGCATAGGGGGAAGGGCGAGAGCCTACGTATACTATTGTAACGGCGCACATCTGTCGAAATACTAGAAGAATGAATAATGATTATCGAACGGCCTTCGGCACATTCCGCCACTGTGCTTGGGCTGCGGAACTGAGGCCACGCGGATGGCAGACGGGGTCTCGTGGGAGGCGTCTCGGGGGCGTTTTGGAAAGAGGTTCTGAACCGCTAGGGGGCCTGCTGGTGGCCACTTGGGAGCTTTGGTCCGGGCCTCTCGGAGCTCCCTGGGAGCGTGTTGGAGGCTTCCTGGGGCAGCCGGGGTGCGGTTTTGGGACCGAAGGCTCGAGATGTTTTTTCGGGCTCCCCCCCGCCCCCGGGCAGTTTTGGGAGTTTCTTCAGCGGCCTCGGGGCCCTCTTGGGCCGCATGGGAGCCCTCTTGGGGGCGTTGCTGGCCGTCCTTGGGCGACGCGGGAGGCGTCTTTGGTGGTCTTGGGCGATGCGAACGCACAAGAAGCGAACGTGCGGAAAGTGCATGATTTCCGACGGGAATGGGGCGACTGGCTCTTTGAGGCAGTCTTGGAACGCTTCGTGAGGGCTTATTGGGGCGTCTTGAGGGCCTCTTGGGCTGTATGGCGGCCAGTGTGGGCGTTTTCGATCAGCCTATCGGCGGCTCGTGGCCCTCTTGGATCGTCCTGAGGGTCCCTTTGTGCCTTCTTGGTATGTTTTCTAATGTTTTTTGAGCGGTCTTGGGGCCCTCTTGGGTCGTCTGAGAGCCCTCTTGTGGGCCTTTCGGGCCGTCTTGGGGCGACCCAGGAGGTTTCTTGGGCTGTGTTGAACGTTGTGATCGCAGAAGAGACGAATTTGCTACAATGGAAATGGGGCGATACTTGCTCGTTGAAGCCTTCTTGGGGCGCCTCTTGAGGGGCCTATTGGGCCGTCGGGGGGCCAGCGTGGGCGCTTTCGATCGTTCGGCGGCTCGTGGCCCTCTTGGGCCGTCCAGAGGGCCTTCCGGTCGCCTCGTGGCATGTTCTCTGTAATTTTTGAAGCGGTCTTGGGGCCATCTTCAGTCGTCTGAGAGCCCTCTCGGGGGCCCTCGTAGGCCGTCTTGGGGCGACCCGGGATGCTTATTGGGCCGTCTTGTGCTAACAATGCAGGTTTGCCCTCCTGGACCGTCCAGACGGCTTTTTGGTGCCCTCTTGGTCTGTTTTGGGGCCTTCTGCCCCCCCGTGACGCGTTCCACTAGTCCCCGAGGGACCCCCCCCATACGTGTGCCAACAATCTGGGATGTGGCCATGTGGCTCGCTGGCCGCGAGACTTGGATGTCTGGCGGCGGCCGATCAGAGCGTAGCGTACACACCTCGCTCGATTGCGCTCAACTACGGCACCTCGACGAGCTCGACCGGGCAGGGGTCCTGGGGTAGGGGTTTGGGCAGGGGGGAAAGATCTCACACGCCGATGAACCCCAAGGGGTCGGCGGATTCTGCGAGCAGCTTGGCTCCTCGGGACGGGTGTGCGCCCAGAGCTCTCGCCCACCGACATCGCCCTCCCGGGAAGGGGCTGGGAAACTTCAGGGGCAACGCGAGGGGGTGGATCGGCTCGGGGGGCCCCTCCGTTGCCGACAAGGGCCTGATGGACCACCCCCCCCAGGGGTGTGCGGATTGGCTATCGGGGCCTACAGTGGGGGCGCGCATCAAGAAACCATATGCTGTTCGTCAGGGTATCCTGGGTTTCTTCGCTCCTCGCGCTGCGCGGTGGCTTCCCGCAGCCGTTGAGGGAGCTGCTGCGTTCCGGGTGCTCCAGGTTTGCCCTCGGGTGCATTTCGCGCTCGGGTTCTCAGGGCTGAGTTTCTTGCGAGGGCTTCTTGCGGCCGCGCCCGCACTGTGTCGCCGATTTCTCGGCCTTGTGTCGCCGCTTCCAGGTCGAGGCTTGCCACCTGGTTACCAGCCTGGAAACATATCCCTATCCCTATGCTGGGCACCTCCTCATCACGAAGCCAATCCTAGGGATTCCTTTTTTTTGAGGGCGGATCCCTAAGATTGTCATCGCCTTTTGGCGTGTCAATCTTAGGGACAGGGATACGCTCGAGGCTGGCAACCTGGGGCGACCCCCCCCTTGGCGTTCCCGCTCAGCGCTGAACCGGAGAGCCCCGGCCTCCTGTCGGCGGCGCGCCCGGGGGGGGGAGAGAGCGAGAGGGGGCAGGCCTGCTGAGAAGGCCACGGGGGGCTTCTCGATTGTCTTCGGGGGCGGAAAAGAGGGGGGTGATGACTAGGGGGGGGGGGATATCATGGCGGGGGCCATGATATCTCCCCGGATTTCATGGCGCCTTTTCTTGTTTCATGACGTCCCTGGCCCCCCCGCTGGGCCGCGCACATGCCGCCGGTCATAATTTGCACCCCCCCTCTTGGACACTTCCCTCTTGGCCGCTCCCGAGAGAAGGCAACGGGGCTTCTCGAGAGTCTTCGCGCCTTTTCAGAATTTGTTCTCGTTTTTTGGGAAGGCTCATCGTCGTGCCAACATCGCAGAGCGGATGTCTTTCGGACCGGCACGGAACCACACCTTGGGCGAGTGGATGGGCTTCTTGCGCGGATCCCCAAATTCCAAACTTACTTTTGCGACATCGTCTTACGTATTGGTTCGCCCGCCATTCGAGGGGGCCGATCGCGCCTGTCGGATTTTCCGGGGCCTTGACGTCGTTTGCCAGTGGCAGTGTGGAACCAAGACGTGCGCCTCACGAACGGATTGGAGGATGAGCGCAAGGTGAGTCTTTCAGCTGCGGGGGGGGCGCGGGCGTTTGCCGCCCCGCAGGGGCCAGGGGCAATTGGGAAACACTCAGGAAAATGGAGGGCGGCAGGTCGAGGAAGAACGGGGGACGGGGAGGGCAAAGCAGCGGGTGGGAATTGGAAAAATAGTGACCAGGCGAGATGTTCTGATAGGGGGAGCGATGTGGGCGGAAACCGCAGTTGGAATTCCTTCAGATAGCCCTGGGACGTTCAGACACCTCCGCCCGGAGGCCGGCAGGGGGTTCAGCGGCCCTTGCCTTCCTGACTCTGCGGGCGGGGCGCGACGACGCACCCGACCTGTACCCCGCCCCTTTCGCCAGGTGCCAGTCTGCACGTGCTCGCCCCGCGCGAGAATCCAGCACGTTCAGAACTATACTGTTGGTTTCGCCGAAGCCATCCTCACAAAACGGAGCACTTATAGAACTGCACCTAGCCAGCGAGGCGGGGTGCATGTCGGGTGCCGCCACTCGCGCTCCCAACGTGTACCGAACCCCGGCCGCTAAGTGCCGTTTTGTACGTGTCCCCTTTTCGCGAAGTATCGGCTGCCCGCGCTGCCCGTCGCCGAGGCCCCGCCCCCTGGGCCGCTTCCCGCCGACATCCCACATCCCCTGGCTCAGCGAAGCCAGCCGTATGCCTGGGGGCTTCGACCTCGCGCAGCCCGTTTCCCTCGCCCGCCTGTGCCCCAGCAGCAAATCCGCGATCCGATGCCCCGCGCTTTCGAGTTTCTCTTCGTGCCAGATTCCCCGTCCGAGGGTGAAACGCTTGTTCGCGCGATGATTTTTCTTGCGGTTGCCGCCAAGCCTCGCCGTGAAACGTGGTGATCGCTTCCACGCTTGGCGCGCGACGTCGTCGGCGCGACCATCGCCTTCCATCGCAGCTCGCGAGGCGTTGTCCGTCCACCCAGACCGACCGACGCGCCAGATCGAATTACGATTGCCACCCCTGGTCCCCGCAATCAGGTGCAGGCTTGCTGCGTGTAGATGTAGATGTGTTTTCGGAAAACGATAGGATGGACCTGAGGAGCCCTGGAGAACTTCGTTCCAGATTTCGACGCGAATTCCGTGCGAGTTCGTTTGGGGCCAGGAATGAAATTTAAACAAAAACCCGCGCGAAATTCACATCGTTTTCTCACGCGCCGCTTCGGGCAAACATCCACGCAGAAATCCCAGCAGAAATCCGCTGCAGCACGTTTGCAAGGCCTGTGCAATGAGGTTCAGAAATGATGTCAAAAGTCCCGAGGTTTGCCAGGCCATCCGAGATACCCGCCCCCTCCCAGTGCCGTCCACAACCTCCCAAAGTAAAACATAAACGCAAAACCCACACCCTTTTTTTGGGTGCGACCCCTTTTGTAGGGTAGTGTTTTTTGTGTGTTTGTGGGTTGTGCGGTAGTTTTCCGTGGTGGGTTTGGTGGTTGTCTCCACTGGGCTCGCCGCCGAGCCAGGCAGCGCCCAGTCGTCGGTCCCCCGCCTCTCGCCGGTGCATTTCGCCAGGTCGTTGCTGGAACTGCTCCTGCTGCCCAGGGACGCGCCGTGAGGGCATCCCGGGCTGGGGCGGGGGGCCAGGCGCCCGCAAGTGCGCCGGCGGGCGATGTGGACCTCCGCCTCCTGCTTCCCTCCCTCCCTCCCTCCCTCCTTTTCCTCTCCCTCCTCCTCCTATTCGTCCTCCTCCTCCTCCTCCTCCTCTTCCTCTTTTTCCTCCTCCTCCTCCTCCTCTTCCTCCTCCTCCTCCTCCTCCTCCTCCTCCTCCTCCTCCTCCTCCTCCTCCTCCTCTCCCTCCTCCTCCTTCTCCTCCTTTTTCCCCCTTTTCGTCCATCCTTTCTCCTTACAGATAACCTGTCGCACCCCGGGGCGGGGCGGGCCGGGCGTGGCGCCTGAGACTTCCTCACCACCTGTGATCCTACATTCTGGGAATATTGCAAAAGTCTCACGGATGGAAGACGGATCGTTTTCAAGATGCGGTTCTCGTTTTAGCGCCGAGCATTTGCGATTTCAGAATTTGTGTTAGAGCTTCGCAGATAGAGGGCGGGTGGTTTTCAAAATGGTGCCTTTGCACATTCAAAAGGGTTCAGATGTAATTCACGGATGGAACGCGGGTTGTTTTCAAATTTAATATTCGCCTCAGCGCCACGCATTCTCGTTAAACCAAATTGCCAGTGCTTCATGGATGGAGGGCGGGTGGTTCTCAAAATGTGAGTCTTGCCGTAGCGCCCGCCGCGCACATTCGTCCTAACAGTTCCAAGCAGCTTCAAGGATTCTGATGGCTGACGTCCCAGATACGGTTTTCTGGCATGATTTCGGATTGTCAGGGCGCGACAGTCACGCGGATTCGTTGCGCTAACGTCCCGAAATCTATGTGCTGGCATGGTTTAGGATCGCTTTGTCGCAACAGTAACGTCGATTCGCGGCGTTAAAAACCCAGGAATGGTGCTTTCGGACGGTTGAAGATGTTCAGACGGTTGTCAAAGGGCTTTTCCCTCAGTGAAAATAGATCCCTGTGGGAGCCCATGAAGAGGGAGTTTGGAGGGAGGTCGTACTGCAACATATTTGAGGAGTATTGGACTTACGCCAATCAACCCTGTTTTCCTTCATCCCCACTCCACTTTCCCCTCCCATCCTCCAAATTCCTCCTCCACCTCCCCCTCCCCCTCCTCCTCCTCCTCCTCCTCCTCCTCCTCCTCCTCCTCCTTTTCCTCTTCCCCAACATCATCATTCTCACCATCATCATCATCATCAGCATCATCATCATCATCGCCATCGTCATCGTCATCGTCATCATCATCGTCCCTCATCATCATCCCTGATCATCATCATCAGCATCATCATCACCCCTCATCATCATCATCAGCATCATCATCATCAGCAGCAGCATCATCAGCATCATCCTCATCATCATCCCTCATCATCATCATGCCAGGTGTTTTCGCAGCGCGGCCACGCAGGCATGTTGCCCCCGAGCGAGAGCCCCCAGCCCCACGCAAGGGCGAGTCAGCCAAGGCGCGCGCTCGCGTTCGCTGGCCTGGCACCCCAAGGAGCGGCGCCAGCGTGCGCAGGCGAGGCTGCAGCTGAGGAGCCCACCCTGACGCGGCGCGCCTCGACGCGCACCGCGGCAGCGTAGCGCCGACGGGTCGCGGAGCTGGAGGCAAAGGCCAGGCGCAGGAGTACACTGTGCGCGGGGATGTGTTGCGAGTGGCTGTACAAGACGCTACCCGAGGCGATGCACGAAACGGTAGCCAGGGACTCGCACAGCACGGTGGCAACAGCAAAGGAGGCAAAGGCAAATTCAAGGGTGCCGAGCAGATCACCCAGGCCCTCCGGCTGCTGACGACATCCTTGTGTGCGATACACCTAACGATTGGCGAAGCCATCTCGCGCCAGCTGCAGGGAGTGGCCTCAGCGATCGGGGCCAGTGCCAGCAGCGCCGCCCACGTCGGTGGCCGAGCGGCTCGGCATCGCGGCGCGCGAGCTGGAGACGGCCGAACGCCAGTTCGACGTGGCGTTCGCGCAGGAGCGGAGGGTGAAGGCGGCGGTAGCCACAGCGCGAACCACGCTTGTTGAGAGGGCGGCTGCAGCGCTGAAGGCGGAGAAGGAGCCGGAGGCAGCGCAGGCGGAGGGCAAGGAGATGCGAATGGCATTGTCGGGCAGTTGGTCAGCGGCGTGGCAGGAGACTTGGTAGACGGCATGCGCGCCTAAGACATGGGAAACCAGCTGGACCTGTCCACCGGGGACCTCGATGAAGAGAGCCGCCGGGAGGTCGAAGTGGCGAAGCAGGAGGTGATCAAACACGAAGTTGGACGCTCGGACCTTTTCGACGCAGCTACGGGACCACCTGGCGGCGGCGGAGCTGAAGGTGGCAGGGCAGAAGCAAAACATCACGCTGACGGCGAGGAGGAAATCCGAAGGAGGCGAGGCAGCAGCGGCAGGAGAAGCGCCACCAGCAGCACGGGTGGCCCCAGAGACGCCGAGCGCCCCACCAACAGAGGAGGCGCTGACAGGCAGCAGTTTCGAAGGCGCTGAGAGCGCAGCGGCGGAGGAGTACTTCAATCAGCTGTGCGCTGAGGGCGGTGGCTAAGGCGCCCCGCCTGGCGGCGCTGGCAGCTGAGGCCGGGCGCGAGGGGCCCGCCACAGGAGAGTTGGCGGCGTCGGGCCCCAGGAGCGCACTCTGTTCTGCGCCAACCTGTCAACGTGGAAGCACAGCGAGTCCTTTGACGGAAGCAAGAGCTGGGAAGCGGCTTGGACGCCCACGCGTTCCAGGAGACGCACGCGGGCGATGCCGCGCTCGAGCACGCGGAGCACGAGCTCGTGGAGTTGGGGCGCAAGTCGTGCTTCGCAGCAGCAATGCCAGCTAAAGATCCGAACCGGAAAATTTGGGAGGCGCGGCGGTAGTCATGGGGGGGCACCCACGGACCCGAAGGTTCCGCGACCAGGTCGGGCACTCCGCGGCCGCGAAGGCGACGGCCGACGCGAGCGGGGTCAAGTAGAAGACCGACCTGGACATGTGCGATTGGACGCCAGTAACTCGGCACCTGAGTGGCGCCACGATCCCCGCGGTCAGCCGACGCCTGGATGAAAAGCCGCCGCTGCGACATGGGGAAGTTGACGGCCTTTTGCACGAGCTCAAATGCGCGTGGATCGCACTCGGCGGCTTCAACCGGGAGCCGAAGGAGACGCGGGATTCAGGGTGGCCCACTGCGATGGGAGCGTTGCCCATCATCTCCTTGCCTGAGGGAAAGCCCGCGCAATTCAGGGGCAGCGGCCAGTCGCCGATCGACTGCGCGCCGGTCAACGAGCATGCGCAGCAGCTGGCGAAGGGGGCCGAAGCCTTCTGCGACGCCCCCTGGAAGTCTTACATCGGCCTGGAGTTGACGCCGCGCGGCGAGACGCATGCGACGAGACGCCGGCAGCCCTGCGCGCCCCAGCCCCCCCTCCCGCCCAGCTTCGGGGGCAGCCCAACCCCGGCGGCAAGAGGGCGAGGGGGGATGCAGAAAAGGGCAGAAGCTCACGCGCAGGCAGGGCCAACTGGGAGCAGCAGCGAGGGGTCCTCGCCACCCTCCGCCCAGGCTGAAGGGGCCACGCTGGGCGGCGCGAGGTGAGAGGCGCTGCTCCCCGTCGGCGGCTGGCACGCGTCCCGACTTGATCTGAGGCGCATCTGAAAATCACACCAGGCACGCGAACGCGACGCCCATGCAGCGCGGCTCGCGCCCGAGCCATGACTTGGAAGCGGAAGAGTTCGACGCGCTCGCGGAGCTCGACGGGAACCTAGGGGAAGAGCAGATGAAGGAGGCGGCGCTGGAAGTGGCGCGCGAGGCCGAGGCCCCCCCGGGCCCAGAGGGCACGACATTGACCAAATGACGAGCACCACGGCCAACAGGACCTCGATTGTCAGCTGTTGCAGCCTCGAGGGGGAAGGGGCGGCAGGTTCGCGCCGGAACCAGACTTCGACCCGCCGCGGCCGCGTCGGCTGCGAAGACCGCGAACACTGCGTGCGGCGTCGTCGGCGGGGCCTCGATCGCGAGCGCGACCAGCCTTTCGGACTGCAGCCCTACACGTGGAGAAGAAGGGAAAGAGAAGGGCGCGGGCCGCCGGAGTGGGCGCCGCCGCCATGGGCGACGCGCGACACGCGGCAAACAAGACGCAGCCAGATGGAGAGGAGCAGGAGGTGTCGAGCCACGTCACCCAGCGGGCCTCGCACCACGTCGACGCCGAGGCCGCGCAGCAGGTAGGCAGCAGGCTCGCGGGAGTCATCGGCTCGATGGCGGCGCCCCATCGCGCGGCCCGCCGCGTCGGCCCGATCGACGAGCGACGGGCGGCGCTAGCCGAGGCAAGGCCCGCCAGCTGGCGGAGAAAGCCAACTAGGAGACATGGGAAATAATAAGGGTGAATTTCAAATCCCACGGGGCGGACTGGCGGGCCAGGACAGAGGCGGCGCCTTCTTTGCTTTCATGGCAAATGAGGAGGAACCACGGCGGCGGCAGGTAGGACAACAACCTCGCGAGAGCCGATCCGACAGGGCCTTCGTCCACGATAGCACGCGATAGGCAGGCAGAGGCGCCTCAGCAAATGCCGCCCTGCACCGCGGCACTTGGAGGCAGAGGCCGGCGGCGCCGGCATCATCTCTCGACGCGGACAGCACGCGAGGGCTCTGGTCCAGCAGGCCTCTGCGGCAGAGGAGGCGCAGGGCCGCGGCGAACCTCGGCGCGCGAACAGGCGCCAGGAGCTTCGGGCTGCGGCCGGCGGCGGCAGACCAGAAACATGGAGCGGCCCGCAGGATCACGATGCCGCGAACCGGGAGACAAGAGGAGATCACCACAGACGCGGACTGCCCGACGGACATCGCGGACCCGGAAGCCGCGGCATCCGCGAAGATTTGAAAGCGCGACGAGGTGGCCCACGCCGAGCACGCCGCCGCCCTGGCGGACCTGGGGAGGAGAGCAGCAGCAGAGGATGTGCCGCAGCGGCCCCTGGAGGACCTGGACGGCGCGCTGCGAGGCGTGCCCGACAGCAGGTCAGGGCGTCGACAAGCCAGGCTGCAGCGACGCCCGCTGCCTGCCGCCAGAGGGGGGGCCGGCGATCGTGGGCTTGTTCACTGGGTGAGAGGTAGCTGGCGCGA